GGACATGTGGGAAGCACTCAGTAAATGTTACTTGTTTTATCATTATTGTCCTATCCAAAACTCACCTCTCCCGACTGCCTCCACTGCCACCCCTCTGGGGTAAGCCACCGTCATCTCTTGCCTTGATGATCACAGCAGCCTCCTACCCGGTCTCCCTGCTATGGCTTTTGTCACCTTCACTCGATCCTTATTACCGGAGCTAGAGGGACCTTTTACTTGTTCACTTTTTAAAGAATAAACATAATTAAAATAAATAGAGGTAGTTTTAGATTTATGGAGAGTTCCTGTATATCCCTCACCAGAGTCCCCTATTATTAACATCTTACATTTGTATGGTACATTTGTCACAACTAATGAACCAATGTTGATATGTTGTTATTAACTAAAGGCCTTGTTTTATTCAGATGATCTTAGTTTATACCTAACATCCTTTTTCTGTGCTAAGATCCCATCCAGGGTACCACATTACATTCAGTTGTCATGTCTCCCCGGGCTTCTTTTGACTGTGACAGTTTTTCAGACTGTTCTTGTTTTTGATGAGTGACAGTTTTGAGGGGCACTAGTCAGGTATTTTATGTAATGTCCTTCTGTTGGGATTTGTCTGATGTTTTCCTCGCCATTGTACTGGAGTAATGTGTTTTTGGAAGGAAGGCCACATTTTCATTATATCGTATCAAAGCGTTCATACTATCGACATGACTTAATCCCTGGTGAGGTTGACCTTGGTCACCTGGTTGAGGTCATGTCTGTCAGACTTCTGTACTGTAAAGCTGCTCCCCTCTCCAAGTGTCCTCTTTGGAAGGAAGTCATTGTGTACAGCCCACCCCTATAAGCAGAGTCTTGCTTCTCCTCAAGGGCAGAGTATCTACATAAATTATTTGGAATTCTTCAGGAGAGATCTGTTTTCCTCTACTTATTGATTTATTTATATCAGTGTGGATTTATGGCTGTTTATTTTATACTTTGTGTTATAATCTAATCCTGGTTTATTTATTGTGTTGCTCAAATTGTTCCAGCTTTAGCCTTTGGGAACTCTTGAGATTGGCTCCTCTTTCCGTTGACATTTCCCTGTCATCGTCAGCTTTTGTTTTTGTTGCTGTTTCTCTTTGGAAATATGAGCTTTGGTTTCTTTCGTTGGAAAACGGCTGTAACAGGGTGGCCAAGGAAGCTGTCACCAAGAAGGTGACTTTGGAGTAAAAATCTGAAACAAGGTGAGTTTGGTGTCTCCACCTGTCTTCGGGTGGCTCCAGGGTGCCTGCCGTGTAGGGCTGTGTGTCTTACGTGTGTTCCTTTTCTCAGGGTCCAGCAGTTTTTAATCAAGAAAATTTAAGGGAGAGGAAATGTGTTCATTGGTAACGTCAGGTGACATGATAGACACTCAGGCTCACATATGGTACCTGTCCCCCAGGAGCTGTGCTGACTGGGGTTCCCAAGGGAACGTGGTGAAGGCAGTGAAGATGTACAGACTAGCGTGGCTGATGAAGCCATAGAAGTGATTTCTGCTGGCATGATGCCCCTGAGCATCTTGGAGGCTGGCAATCTGGTGTCTTCAATCCTGCCCGAAGGAGAAAATATTTTCACAAGGTTTATATGGGTGAGCTTCTCTGCACCTGGCAAGGGCTTTCACTGTGCCCTCCTGATTCGCTCCTCCCCATCACCACTGCCACTTTTATTCCTTAATAAGCAGTGGTAGCCTCATCAAGCAGCCTTATCAAGGAAGGAAGCTTTATATATTTGGCTTCACCTTCCTCACTTGATTATTTTGTCCCAAAGGGCTCTCAGCTAGTGATCTGGGGGCTTTCTGATGACCTGGCCAATCTGTAGGGACACATCCAACCTCTTTCTTCTCCAGAGTCCTTCAGTCACACATCACAGACGAGGGAGATCTTAGACGTATATAAACTCTACACCCCAAAGGGAGAAGGTGACAGATTCCAGCTCCAAGAGTCCAGCTGTATTTCAATTGTAAGAGAACTTCATCACAATCCATAGCTAAATTCAGAAAGTGGGAAATCTGTCAAGGCCCTCGATAGGTGGGAAGAAGGCGAGAGGAAGGCGAGGAGTTCTTGCAGACCAGGGTGGGTTTGGAAATATGCCACCAGCTGCAAGGCGTCACCCTTTAAGTGCCCAGCATTGCTCCTCTCGATTCTGTTTGATTGTTTAAGCTTCCCAGACACGCTGTGTGATTTACTTCTCTCATGAATCCAGTAAGTGCCTTTTTTTTGTCCTATTCTGCAGAGGAGAAGCTGAGGTTCAGAATGGGGAAGGAATAAGCACAAAGCAAATAAGAGGTGGCCAAGTTCTCAGTGTTATATCCCTGCTCCAAACATTGCTGTCCAGCCACATGGGATGCCGATCCGGCAATGAATGGGGGAGGGGAGGCAGCCTGAACAAGGAACCGCTGGCCCTAAAGGGTATCCATGGATGAGAGGGAACCTATCAGAGATGTGATTCCTCTTCCGCAGCAACACACCCCTGCCCCCCATATTGGAATTTACTTGAATTTGAACAAAAGGAAAGGAGACTGGACTGTCTTCTCTCTGCGGTGCACCCAGTGTAAGCTGGGCGAAGACCTCAACATGGCCGATTATTTGCAGAACCCCGAAGGAGTGGGTTCCTTCTATTTTGGAGTATGTAGAAGAGTAAAGATTTTCTTTAATTAGATAGTGCCGGATAGATTTAATTAAAGCTTCAAACCTGCAATTTTCTTTGTTTGATTGATCAGTCGGTGCTGATTGCCTGGAGTAATTATGAAGTAGGGGGAGATGGTGTTTTCAAAGTCTGGTGGCGGTAAGAAGCAGATTGAATCACCTCCTGGATACTTGGTTGTCATAGTGGATTCTGAAAAGGTTTAAATTGCACAAATGTTTGTTAGCTGGTCAAATGAAAAATAAGGTGCCTAATTACGCTTTTGTCTCACGGGTGGTCCTGGCTGATGTGCTTCTGTGGGGGAAGTTCCTTCTTCCCACCTTTTTCCAAATGTGACCACGCCCCTGAGGCCAGGCAGTATTCTGTTATTTTTGTCTTTCTTTTGTGAAATAATTGAAGCACGTCGTTGGGAGTGTCTCGTAATGGCCTTTTTAAATTGCTGGAGCCCTTGGGTGGTCAGGAGAGAAAAGGAACCTCTCATAAGCACAACACGAGTTTAGGGAACTCAGAAGGAGTTTTTCTTTTCTTTTTTTAATAATTTTTTATTTTTATTTTTCACTTACGGATGACACATAATATTATGTTAGTTTCAGGTGTACAACATAATGTTTAGACATTTATATAACGTATGGGATGATCCCCCTGGTAAGTTTAGTATCTGTCTGACACCTTACATAGTTATTACAGTATTACTGACTAAATTCCCTGTACTGTACTTTACATCCCCATGACTATTTTTATAACTGGATGTTTGTCCTTGATCTCTTCACTTTTTTCACTCATTCTCCCAGCACTACTTGATACGAGGCAGGTCTTAACCAATATTCTTCCAGCGGATGAATAAATGAGTGAATACGTTATCCATTGAGGTCCCCTCAGAAGTGGGCGACACCAGTTCGGGATGGTAGAGGTGACTCCATTCATGAAACCTTGAAGGGACTTGGTCTCCATGCCCATTGGACATAGTATGAACCGTGTGACAGGGTCTTCCATTTAAAAAACATTACAAACTAGTCTCTTTTCTTCTGAACTGGTCAAACCATCCAAAGAGACTGTGGTAATTTCTCAGTTTTACGCTGGAGGGAGATAACTGCGGACGATCGTCCAGACTGTTGCAACAGAGCACAATGTTTGAGTTAAAAACACAAAGCGGGCTACAAAATTGCCTGTGCATTATGTATATCGCTGCGTGAGAACATATATTCACGTGAAAAGGACTGGTGGGAAACTCAGCAGCATGCTAATAATCTAGGTTTTAGGATGGCTTGATTATAAATGATATTTTTGTTTTCTTTATTAAAAAATGTTTTGTCACATAGTCATGTTATTTTTACAATTAGAATGCATTTTTCAATAAATACAGCGGTAAATCTAAAGGAAAAGAAGAAAGCTTAAATATATTTCTCTCCACCCATACCCACAGAGGGACACTGGCACACTGAAGTGCATCCAAAGGAGAGTGACTAGGATGAAGAGGGATTTTTTAAATTTTTGTTTTATTAAATTTATTGGAGTGACATTGGTTAAAAAATTATATAGGTGTCAAGTGTACAGTTTAATAATATGTCATATGTATATCGCATTGTGCGTTCACCACCCAAAGTTAAATTTCCTTCTACCACCATATATTTGACCC